TACATGATAAATTTGTGTACGTTAGGAACCTCGAAGGCGGATGCATTGCAACAAATCACCAACCTTGCCCTTCAAGCTTGACATCAAGAAAAAGGTTGACTCGGTGAGATGGGATTTCCTCATTGACATGTTGCGTCACAATGGCTTCCCTTCCCTAGTCGCTTTCGAGATTGGGTTTCGACACTCCTCTCCTCGTCCTCTTAGGATGTTGCTAAATGGGTTTACTGGGGAGCCGATTGGAGGAAGAACCCCTCTCCCCCAGCTTTTTGTCCTTGCCATCGACCCGCTCCACCACATCCTCGGCAAGGCAACGACACAAGGGAAGCTGCACCTTGTTGGAGGAAGAACCCCCCTACTAACCCTGTTGATGAAGTGGCGATTGCCCCGGCCAAGGATGAAATTCAGTTTCTCGCTTTCACCCTGCTCTCTTTCGGCGAGGACACTGGATTGATTACGTACTATCAAAAAAGTAGTGTCTTGCCAATCAATTGTGGGGGTGTAGACCTTGATGACATCCTTCAGTCCTTCCCAACCAATAGAGCAGTCTTCCCTGTGAAATATCTTGGGCTAACTCTTTCGGTGACTCATCTTAAAGTTGTCCATTTCCAACACCTGAAAGACAAAGCTGCCAGTAAGCTCACTTTATGGCCCGGGAAGCGTGTTGCTTCCGCTGGTCGTGCTATTTTGGTCGAAGCGGTCCTCACTACAATCCCCATCAATCACATGACGCTGCTTGAGTTTCCTGCCGAGATCTGGGAATATATTGACAAGCTCTGTTGTGCCTACCTTTGGGTTGGTTGTGACAAGGTGTCAAGAGGCAAATGTAACATGAATTGGGAATGAGTGTGTAATCCTAAACTTCTCGGTGGCCTCGGTATCCTCAATCTTGAGAAGTTTGCTTTCGCCCTTATGCTGCAATGGCTTTGGTTTGCTTCGACTGAGCCAACAAAACCATGGATTGGGCTTGGATCACCCTGCAACGAGCGGGACAAGGATCTTTTTGTTGGTGCCACGCCCGTATCCATTGGTAATGGCGCGACCGCCTTTTTATAAGAGTTCTCCTGGCTCCATGGTTTGCGACCCAAAGACATCACCCTTAAGATTTTTGACTGCTCCAAAAAGAAGAATTCCCTAGTTCAAAAGGCGTCGGCTAGTTCAATATGTGTGTTGGCCATGCGGACACCGATGCTACAACTGACAACGTACGATGCTTCAATCAGCGACGCGAGGTGCTAAAACCAAGATCCATCAATGCTGCAATCAGACCATTCCGACACGTGATGCTACAACCGGTGAGACGACAAGATGCAACAGCCAAGCGACATGCTTCAAGCTGGCTGTGGCTACTGCGAGTGTGGCGAGCCAAGGAACATGCTGCACCAACACAGCCGGACGAGGGCGCACAAGCACAGCATGGGAAGGGCTTCGCGGTGCGAGGCACGCGAGAGGAGGAGAAGAGTGGATGAGGGAGTGATGCTGATCCAACAGCTGGGTGCGAGACCATCTAACGGCCCACGAGGGAACCGATCCGACGCTCCTGCCGGTCGACCGGCGCTGAGCGTTGGCCATTTTTCTAAACGTGCATAAAATTCCGGTGTCATCTGCAAAACAAACCGTCGCCATTAGAGGTTCGCCTTACAGCATGATCCTCGGTCGCGTCTTCCAGCCGCTTCGCCGGCGGCGCCGGCCGCCGCTCCTCCAGACCACATTCCTCCGCCTCCACGGCGCCCTGGCAAACCACCCCAGCCCGTACACAGCCCTTCCCGCCCACCGCGGCCGCCGCTCTGCCCGCGCGGTGTTCGACGAAACGCCGCACGAGGACGCCGTCGCCTACGCCAACCTGATCGAACTCCACCTGAGCTGCGGAGACCTCCCGCGCGCGGAGGCGCTCTTCCGCGCGGCGCCCACGGCCGCCCGCGGCCTCCGTCTCGACACCGTGATGCTTGACGGGTACTACAAGGCCGGCCGCGTCGACCACGCCCGCAGGCTGTTCGACGGAATGGCGGTCAAGAGCGTCGGCGCGTGGACCCGCATGGTCTCAGGGTACTGCCGCGCCGGGCGCGTCGACGAGGCGCGCCGTCTGTTTGAGGTGATGCCGGCCCGCGACGTCGTCTCGTGGACGGCGATGTTGCAGGGGTACGTGCGCAGCGGGATGATGAGGGAGGCGCGCAGGCTGTTCGACGCGATGCCGGCCCGCGACTTCGTCTCATGGACGGCGATGTTACAGGGGTACGTGCGCAGCGGGATGCTGAGGGAGGCGAGGGAGCTGTTCGACCAGATGCCGGAGAGGAACGTGGTCACATGGACGGTCATGGTTAGGGCCTATGCCGACCATGGCCACTTTCAGGAAGCCATGGAGCTGTTCGACAGGATGCCTCAGAGGAACGTGTATTCCTGGAACATAATGATCTCTGGTTTCTTCCGTGCTGGGAACGTGGACGAGGCGGTTCGGCTATTCGAGAGGATGCCAGATAGGAATGCTGTTTCTTGGACAACGATGGTCACAGGCTTAGCGCAGAACGGCCGTGTTTCGATGGCACGAGAGTTCTTTGACAGAATGCCGGAAAACAGGGACGCCACGGCATGGAATGCGATGATCACTGCTTATGCCAACGCTGGCCAGATGTACAAGGCTCAGAGATTGTTCCATTCTATGCCCGCAAAGGACCTGGTGAGCTGGAATGCCATAATCCATGGCTATGCCAATAACAAGCACAAGAGCGAGGTCATGCGTTTATTTCTTCTCATGCTCGGGTCAGCAGTATCCCCTGACAGATTTACATTGATCAGTGTCTTGCTTACATCCGAGAGCACAGTTGAAGTTGGGCAAATCCATGGCTTGGCTACCACACGAGGTCTCCTGTCAGACACCTCCTTAGGAAACGCTCTGCTCACCAGGTATTCAAGGAGCGGTGACCTGCACTCTGCCTGGCAAGTTTTCAACATGTTACATGAGAAGGATCCCATCACATGGACATTGATGATGCGGGCCTTCGCCAACCATGGCTGTGCCTCCTACGCACTGCAGGCCTTTGCTCAGATGTTGCAACATGGATACAAGCCCAGCTCGACCATCTTCATCGCCGGTCTCGTCGATGAAGGCCATGCCTCCAGGGTGCATTGCCGCCTAAGCGTCCAAGTTGGGAACAGTGGTGGGGGGAGCTCTTCCAAAGTCTGACGGTCCCTCTGGTTCAGGTTTGGGAGGCTACTACATGGTAGGTGCGTATAAGGCCATGAAGGGGAGCCAGGTGTGGAGGACACCCGGGGTTATCCAGATAATGTTGGATGCAAAGGACCCGCACTCTCTTCTCAAGGATAAGATGCATCCGCAGCGGGAAGCGATATACGAGATGCTAGACAACACGCCTGTCCCCTAGATGATGAAGTAGGATTGTAACAGTGTGAGCTGGTCGATGCAGTTGCAAGCTTGCATCAGCTGATTGATCTCTTTGATTTTTTAGGGTAATTGATCTCTTTGATGAACAAGCCTATTTCATCCCGCACACAATGCTTTGACACACAGTACAGAATACTCCCTCCATTCCCAAATATAAGTCGTTGTACTGCCCCAACGACTTATATTTAGGAACAGAGGTAATATATGAGATGCTGGACGACGCGCTTGTCCCTCCGGTGAAAGTGAATTTGATAAAATACCATATTCTACTTTCCTCGCGGAAAAGAGGAACGCCAACCTGTGTTCATGACTGTCTTCCAGAAATTGTTACTGTTGTATGTAAAATAGTGAAAGATGGTCCATTGGCAGTAGAAGAAGTTGTTGCTGCTTCTCACTGTACACCACCAACAAAGGCTACCCACCACAAGTGTGGCAACATTACAAGCCATCGCAGGGCCTGTGAATGAAGGTAATAAATCGCCATCTTTTTACTCCATTGATTGAATCTTATTTTTAATCTTCCTAAGGAATGCAAGTGTTTATATTTGCAGGCAAATAGCTTTGGCAATTCAAGAAGGGCGACGTATCCAGTGAAAACTAACATTCAGCGCAAATCTGAAAGCTTCCACCGTGGCCCATTAGATCGATATACTGGATGGCAGAGATCAATAGTGGAATTACCAACAAGTCACTTAAGCACTGTTTTACACATACCCCCTTATCTTAGCATGGGCAACTCGGGGCCAGCAGCAGCTGCCCCCGATGTGACAGCAACTTGGTAGCCGCGACGCTACCCCCGTGCGATGGAGGTTCAGCGGCCGTGGTGCTGCTCTCATGCGACGGTGGTTGGCGGTCGGGGTGCTGCCCATCGCCATGGCGACTCAGCGGCCGCAACTATACTCTGAATTTTGAAGCTCCATCTGAATGCTGCAATGTTTTCTGCTGTTGAAGCTTCAGGCAGGCAATCGAAGCTTGATTATGTAGTCTCGTTTCTCATGCGGGCAGTCTGTAATCTTTGGATCTATGATCCTGAGAAACATTTGAAATGTTATCAAGCAAATCAGTGCGTGGATTTACTATTCTCTTTATCTTGACTCGACGACGTGATTCAGTTGCATAAATCTGACGAGCTGAGCCATTTTCCTCTACCGGAAGTGATGTTTACGGGGCATGTTTGCTGATTCATTTGCTGAGCTGATTTATTTTACATCCTTGATTGGACAAAATAGCACTACATCTGTAACCACTCAATGTGAATCATCTTGTATCCTTGAAAGCTCCCTTGTACAGAATCCAGGCAAAGCTTTGTTCTACTGAACATGCAATTCTGAAAATTGTTACACCGAGACATTGCTCTTGGTGATTTCACACGGCCAGTGTTCTGAAATCCTTGCTAGGTTCTAAAGCCGCATTATATGCAGTATTTTTTTTAATTTATTTGTTGAATTTTCTTTCCTGATATATTTGGTTTCATTCAGGAAAACTTGTGAAGGAGCAGCTGCATAAAGGCTTGGAATGTGTTCTATCACACCACCACAAAAGCAAACAAATATAAGACGTTTTAGGTAGCAAGTGTTCAGTGCGGAAATCCATTTTGGCTCTAGGGAGCACATGCTCCTTCGTGCCAAAAATGGATTTTACCAATGTCAATTTTTTTTGAAAAAAAAAATAGATGTGTGTGTTGTCACGTCTGAATGGTACATGCAAATTTCCAGAGGAAAGACTTAAGCATTTTGATCCTGTGCAAGAAAAAAAAGTCAAATCTCAAATGTTACACTTGATTTTGTTTTTTCACCGTCGAAGCACTGGTATCCCATACGACACGAAAATTGTCAAGCACGCTTGCTACACTAATATGAACATCTACAATTTTTCTTTTCAGAATCTTTTAAATTTATTTACTACTCCCTCCATTCCTAAATATATGACCTTTTGGAAGTTCAATCTATACTGCCAAAACGTCTTATATTTATGAACAGAGGTAGTATTTATTTTGATTTACTCTGTTGCACGAACATGTTGATTCTGAGCAGAAAATCGAGCCGTTGCCACTCTCACTTACTTTTCTCCCGTCAGACGGCGGAGCCGAGCATGTCCCGCGCCTTTCCTCGCCGGCGCCGGCGGCTTCTCCCCCGTCCCCCGCTCCACACCGTCTTTTCCCGCCTCCATGGCGCCCTGGCGAACCGTGCCGACCAGTATCCACGAGCCCCCGCCCGCCGCGACCTCCGCACTGCCGATGACCAGGCCCGCGCGGCGCTCGACGAAAGGCCGCGCCGGGACGCCGTCGCCTACGCCGCCACGGTCGACCTCCACCCGAGGTCCGGCGACCTCCCGCGCGCGGAGGCGCTCTTCCGCGCGGCGCCCGCGTCCGCCCGCGGCCCCCACCCTGACACCCTGATGCTCGACTGGTACGCCAAGGCAGGCAACCGAAGCTTTGATTTTGTAGTCTCATTTCGTTTCTCATGCAGGCAGCCTGTAATCTTTGGATCTATGATCCTGAGAAACATTTGAAATGCTATCAAGCAAATCAGTGCATGGATTTTTGTATTCTCTTTATCTTGACTCGGCGATGTGATTCAGTTGCATAAATCCGACGAGCTGAGCTATTTCCCTCTACTGAAAGTGATGTGTCACGGGGCATGTTTGCTTGCATACTTTTGCTGGGCTGATTTTTTTTACATCCTTGATTGGACAGAATAGTACAGTAGGTATTTGGAAGCTCTGTCCAACATTATGTTTGCCGAGCTGGACTAGTGAGCTCTTTTCTTTTCCTCTGAAGAAGTCACAGCCACTCAATGTGAATCATCTTGTATCCTTGAAAGCTGCCTCTGTTGTACAGAATCTAGGCAAAGCTTTGTTCTACTCCATCCGTTCCTAAATATTTGTCTTTTACGGATTTCAAATGGTATATAGATATATTTTAGAGTATAGATTCACTCATTTTGCTCCGTATGTAGTCAGTTGTTGAAATCTCTAGAAAGACAAATATTTAGAAACTAGAAAGACAAATATTTAGGATACAAGATTCACTCATTTTGCTCCGTATGTAGTCAATGTTGGAATCTCTAAAAAAGACTTATATTTAGGAACGGAGGGAGTAGAAAAAAGGAACGCCAACCTGTGTTCATGAGTTTCTTTAGCTACTGAACTCCTGAACCTCAAGAAATTTGGAACTGTCTTCCAGAATTTGTTGATGGCTATCTCTAGTGGCTCTAGATCTTTACTGTCTTGCATATTGAATGGTGGGGGTGCAATGCCATGAAACTTGCTGATGGTAAGAAGTTTCTCGACACTCTTAAAAATATATACACCATCCGTATCCTCCAATTATCCATTTGGGGAGGCATGCTTGGTGCTGGAAACACTTTTGGTGAATGGAGGTGCTGGAGACCTCACTGTGCTTTGTTGGCAATCAATGAATTCACAGACAAAGCATGAGAAAGTCTATCTCATTATCCACACACACCCTAACTATTTACCTTTTCTCATCGGAGAGGTTTAGGGTTGCTTATCAAGGAGAGATAGAGCCACTGACATGTAGGTCCAAGAGTGGAAACCACCAGTGAAGAAGACTCGCATGGGCAACGAGAATAAGATTCAAAATGTGTAATTGGCCCTGTCCAATCAATGGAGTTAAAAAGAAGGCACTCAAACCTCTCTATCAGTTACTGTTGTATGTAATTTCACTAGTATTTGTGATGTGGTGTTCACAACAAAAGGAAGAGTAAGAAGAAATCAGTGAAAGATGGCCGATTGGCAATAGAAGAAGTGAAAGTGCGTTATATCGACTAGAGGGGGGGTGAATAGGCGATTTTTATGAAAGTCTTCAAAACGTGGAAGTTATGAAGACAAACAGCAGAGATATGCCTATTACTATGCAGCGGAAGGTAGACTACACTAGGCAAGCCATGGTCAAGTATCAACAGAGTGAAAGCACAGTGACAAATAGCTGCAGTGTAATAAGGATCAGGTAGGAAGATATTATGAAGCCAAACAGATCATACACTCACGTTGTGAAGACAAAAGATAGAACAGACATGCAATGACTTCACAATGAGTAATCAGTAAGTAAAAGGAAGTGAAGATGAAACCAGTGACTCGTTGAAGACAATGATGTGTTGGACCAGTTCCAGTTGCTGTGACAACTGTACGTCTGGTTGGAGCGGCTAGGTATTTAAACCTTAGGACACACAGTCCCGGACACCCAGTCCTGAACACGCAGCTCAGGACACCCAGTCCTCACCGTATTCTCCTTGAGCTAAGGTCACATAGACCTCGCCCAATCACTCTGGTAAGTCTTCAAGGTAGACTCCCAAACCTTCACAGACTTCGTTCACCGGCAATCCACAATGTCTCTTGGATGCTCAGAACGCGACGCCTAACCGGCTGGAGGATGCACAGTCCTCAAGTGTAATAAGTCTTCAGATCACACAAACAAGAAGACTTAAGTGATGCCCATTTCTCTCTGGCTCTGGGTGGTTAGGGCTTTATCCTTACAAGGAATTCTCTCTCAATGGCTTCGAGGTGGGTTGCTCTCAAACGACAAAAGCCGTACTTTCAATCTGAGCAGCCAACCGTTTATGGTTGTAGGGGGTGGGCTATTTATAGCCACTTGGCAACCCGACCTGATTTGTCCGAAATGACCCTGGGTCACTAAGGAACTGACACGTGTCTCAACGGTCATATTTCAAACTCACACGGCAACTTTACTTGGGCTACAAGCAAAGCTGACTTGTCCGACTCTGGACAAGATTCGCTCTCATTGTCTTCACTCGAAGACATATGTTTTTGGTTTAGGCATCACTTCAGTCATTCTGACTGGTTCTCTTAGACCCCACTTAACAGTACGGTGGTTCCTATGACTCAACACAAAAGAAAAAGACCTACGAAAGATCTAAGTCTTCGAGCTCCATAGGCTTCATATCGTGTCTTCTCTTGTCATAGTCTTCAATGAGAATATCTTCATATACCACCTTTGACTTCAATGTCTTCATACATTTTAGGGGTCATCTCTGGTAGTAAAACCGAATCAATGAGGGACTTCTACCTGTGTTATCCTGTAATTCTCACAAACACATTAGTCCCTCAACTAGGTTTGTCGTCAATACTCCAAAACCAACTAGGGGTGGCACTAGATGCACTTACAATCTCCCCCTTTTTGGTGATTGATGACAAACTAGTTGAAGTTTTCAACGGGGAATATAATCTGTGAATTTGTAAAGGATAAGGAATTGTCTTCATAAGTTGCAAGGGCTCCCCCTGAAGATGTGCATATAAGTTAGTTTGCTTTTGGAATGCAAATGCACATGGCAGGTTGTACTTGTGGAGATCCACTTCAGCTTATGATGACAATCCACTATGCATGTGAAAGTATATGAAGATAATGACATGCATAATAGAAAATGGACGTCTGCAGAATGAGCTAAGTGCGGAATATCGTCGCACATGCGGAATTTATCTTCGCAAAACAAGGTGGCCAACAAGTAGCAGACGACCATCTGGTTTAAGTGTTACAACTCATAAGAACCAAATGTAGCAAAAACGAGAGTTGTAAGCACAACGCCCATATGAACCCGCTTGAAGACTATCAATCTCATATGCTTCTCCCCCTTTTGTCAGTAATGACCAAAAAGGTTTGAATACATAGAGCCTCTACTCGTTCCCATGAGGAGTAGATGAAGTAGCAGGGTTGTTGGTGTTGTTTGGCGGTGCAGAAGAGCTTGGAGGTGCTGAAGGATATGGCGGTGAAGTAGCATCGTCTTCTTCCTCAATAATTCTGGCAGTTACTGTGGCAGCAGAGGAAGAGAACTCAGAGTCTTCAAGGGATGGAGTTCCTAGCAGCACAGCCCTTCGAGGAGGTGTGGAGTCAAACTTGAATCTCTCATTGAAGCCATCCTCTTGAAGTTCAGCTTCATAAAGCATCATCGTTAGCCCTTTCCATGTGCAACGACAGGTTTCATGGGCAACGAACGCATTCTTGGTGGCAAGATTTCGAGTGCGATTGACATCCACCAAAAGGCTTTTCATCTGACGCTTCAGCCAGTCATGATGCCTATCTTGTTTCTGATGTAGAGCCACAAGAAGCTCTCGGTTGTTGAGAACACGAGTGCGCTTCTTGGGTCTTGGAGCAGTGGCACTGTCAGTGGCTTCAGTTGAAGCAGGGTGTGGTGCACGTGTAGTGCCAGCCAAAGGATACACCCGAGAAACTGCTTCAACGCCTTCATCGTTCTGAGTAAAACTCTGATGTTCTGCATTTTGAAGACTTAGAGGTTGCTTGGCAGGCTCAGAATATATGGCTTCAGTTGACATGTCCACGTCAGGCAAGAAGATCCGATGGTTGCGGGCTGAGGGCTGATACTTGATGGCGGAGTGTAGCTTGATCAGCCGCATGACCCAAGGGGCGTAGAACTTCAAACCAAACAGATCCATGCCTGATGCAGCAAGTTGGCGTATGAAGAAGTCCCGTGCATTGAAGCATTTGCCATGAAGTATATAGAAGACCAAAGTCTTCATTGCACCCTGAAGCTTGGCATTTGGAGAGTGCCCTTTGATAGGCCAGAGAGTCCGCCTGATGATGTGATAGATGGTTCTGGGCAGGTACTCAAGGTCTTCAACGAAGAACTCTGTGGGATACGCAGCATCTGGGGGCATTGGCTTCATCATGCTGAGCATTTGACTCATATTGGGTTCTGGCCGCTGAAAGATGCTCTCAATAGCTTCAGTATGCAGCTGACAGCCTTGCTCGAAGAGATCGCCAGGAGTGGGCAAGCCAGTGAGCTCAATGATGTCAAATGCATTGGCTTCGTGATGAACGTTGCCAGTCATCCACTCCAGGACCCAAGTCTTCGGATCTCTGCTATACCCTTTGATGTGAAGTGTGGCATAGAATTGTAGCAGTAGCTCTTCATTCCAATGCTCTTCATTAGTGACAAACTGCAGCAGACCCACTTGCTTGAAGCAATCCAACGCTTCTTCTAGACAGGGCAGACCAGCTATAGCTTCAACGTCAAGGCGCTTGTGTGGGAAGATGCGACCTTGGTTGTAAAGAATGCAAGAGTAATAGCTTCGCTGAGGATAGCTCCAGAACCGATCAGATGATATCCTTTCCCTTGAGTAGGGGTTCCTGGAGCTATCGAAGAACGTGTTGTCTGCCCTGAAGCCATTGATGTTGAAGGAGCCAGGTGCTGATGCAGGACCTGGAAACCTTGGGAGTCTTGGGATTGGCTTCTGGACCTAAGGCCTGTGCTCAACATGATAGTTGAATTGGGGACCGGCAGCAGACTCAGAAACAGAAGTGGCAGGATCAGTGGCTTCGCTGTCTTCTGAAGCTTTTGCTGGGGAGGGCTCCACATTAGCTT